AAAAATAATTTATATATTTTTTCTCATACTTATCCACTGTCACTCCTTCATTGTACATTTGTTATTTTAGTTTGTCTGTATTTTGTTGCCATAACCATTTATTGTTAACTATATTAGCATGAACACTCGTGTTAATATAGTTATCTTCTCTTATCTTCATTATATATGTGATAGCTGTTTTATTTGGTTTATACCCTGACGAACAATTGTTCGTTTAATTTGTGTCAGGTTTGTTTCAACCGTTCTGCCAGTTTTGTATTTTCTCTCAAATTAAATAAACTGGTGTCACTAGTGGGACAGTAACTAATTACCTTTTTAGAGCACATAAGATCACCCTTCGGTTTATTTGGGGTAGGTGTTGCTAAGTTTTTAGATTTTTATGTAGTATTTGTGAACATTGGATCCTGTAAGACAGTTTTGCCAGTCCTACTTTAAAAAAAAAAGATAGTTCCCAGTTGAATTAAGATACACCTTAAAACCTTGACTAGATCGACAAGGTTAAGGATATCACTCATCAACAGAAATGAAAAAAAAAAAAAACTTTTAAAACTAAAATAATACTTGAATGTTTTTGTTTAATTTTATTTACATAAATCTGATTAATTTAGTTGTCCCTAATAAGGTTTGGTTTCCATTGCTTTTCAACGACATAAATTGTAATTGATTTGGCTTTTCACTGTTCCAACTGATTTAATTCTCGCACCACTTATTAGTCATATGGAGACGAAACCCGTGTTTGTCGTTCTAACAAATTATGTTCTCGTTACTTAGGCGCGTATACTCGCCTTGGATGCATGGTTTTCTGTCTGGACTCGCCATTGCAAGAACCCGTGAGTCCGAGGAACGGTTCCTGACAACACTAGCTGAGTCTTATTATCATCATAATTATCCCTTGGCTATGCGTCTATTCAATATTTTTACCGGAAATTTACATTTGTTTTAATTCATTCATTGTCATTGCTATTAATAAGAAATAATAAGAATAAGAATATTTATTGAATCCAATTAAAGGGCCCGTTTCCGAGCATATACATATATATATAGTATTAATTATACAGTAATTTTTAAGATACCGGTATATTACTTTAAAAATAAATGATTAAATAACTATACTCCATACCAGATGGTGTTTGAAAATAAATAAAATAGAATATTAACTCTCTCTAATACATAAAAATAAATAAACTACTGTAACATCACTACTACATGTATATTTAGTTAGTTACTGGAATGCAAATTTTCTCTTATTTCAAAACAAGTACTTATAAATCTTGACACTGACATATTAACATTTTCAGACTCACATGACATTAACCAAATAAATTGTTCATACTTTGAAATAAAAGGGAAGTTTTTACATTGAATGCATGCTTCATTAAGAATAAAATTCCGTTCATTTTCATATACAGTGCATTTCATTAAAATATGAAACTCGTCTTCAACCTGCATATTTTTACACTGCCCACGAAATCTTATCTTTATCGATTTTTTTATATGTCGTAATGATATGTCCCGAGCACTACGAAAATACTTAAGATCACATGACTTACGCTAATTGGATAAACGCAGAGAAGATCGAAATCTGTTTACATCAGCATGTTTCAGTTCAGTTTCTTGTATGTTCCTCAATTAATTGTGGAGCACTACCCATAGGGTATAATTGTAGCAACTATATGTATGAAAGTGTTTACCTTTTTGAGCAACGGACAATTCCAACAGGGACCCAGATCAACTATTTGATGTAACGCTCTATATTTAGAACGAAAGAAGATTTCCAATTATAAATATTACAAAAATATATTTACGCGACGATAATGTATAGATAATATAAGGGTAATACTGCACACGATAACGACTAGAAGGGTTGAGAACGCATGGTTTTGACATATATATTATAGAGAAATTTTCATTAAATATTCTTCAAAGTTTGAAATATAATGTATACATAGTTTAGTTGCACTTGTCCATAGATAAATGTCCATGTATAAAGTTTTATAGACCATGTACAAATTTAGCCAGTGGGGTTTATGATGTAAGTAAACACTCGATTCAGATTACTAAATGACCATGTTATGTAAACCCCATTACACATGTTACTTTTAAGTGTATTGGGAAGGTTAAGAGTTTAAAGAAGGGTAATTCAACGGTCACTTCAAAGATGCAAAATTTTAGTACCGACATTTATTACTTTATTTGATTAATGGGATAGTTTCTCCGGGTACTATATAAACAAGTTTGTTCAGTTGGTGTACTATCTGTGTATTCCAACTGAACAGAACTTTGTGTTTTTATTTTAAAGGTAACCGGACAATTTCAGAAACCCTAGTGGTATGATAAAGTCCTAAAAAAAACATGAACAGCATACAAATTACTTGTCAGCCACATACACATACGAGTTTCATCCGACCTCCCTCTACACCAAGTCGAGTATAGTCTCACCCCAACTGACACCAAAACCAAGTATAAAATATAATTGGGTTTTCCTTTGCATAGATTGGGTTTTTGAACGCTGCAATCGTCAATTGCATTAGGTTTTCAATTGTTTTTATTGCGTGATCACGCAAATACGCAGCTTATCTGGAGCTCTGTATAATTGTTCAACCAGATTGTAAAATTGACAATACAATTGGGACATTTAAATTGACCAGTTGGTATTATTAGAGTTGAATTAACCTTGATGCTACCTGTACTGTTTTTTATTCACCTTACCCAACCGTACAGCTTTTCTTCACCTAGGGATATTCTATTATAAAATTGATAGGGAATCGTCGTCGTCTGTTAACTTTTACAAAATCTTCTCCTCTGAAACTATGGAGCCAAATTCAATTAAACTTGGCCACAACTATCATTTGGTTTTTTAGTTTAAAAAAATTGTCCAAGATGGCTGACATGGCTAAAAATAGACCATAGGGGTAAAATGCAAGTTTTGTCTATTATTTTGAAAACCACTATAAATAGAGAAAATCTGGCTGGGAAAAAATGTTCAGAATGAGGAGCTTTACCTATTGTCCCTTGAAGTCAAGACTGTCAGACAACTTCTTATAGGAGTTATTGCCCTTAAGTGACGAATTTTATCTTTTTTTTCAACAAAATGATCAGCAAAACAAGATCTACAAATTAGACAATATTGCAGAAATCCTTAAACAACTCCTTATTAGAGTTATTGCCCTTTAATGACAGTTTTTACCAATTTTTGCATTTTTGCCTAAAATCTTAAAAATAACAATAAACAGATAGAAACTTAAAAAAGCAAAAGTGATCAGCAAGACAAGTCTTCAAATATGTCTAATGGCTGAATTCTTCAGTGGACTTGTTATTGTAGTCATTGCTCTTTAATGACGATTTTAACCAATTTTTAGTGTTTTTGCTTATTATCTTGAAAACTTTAATAGATAGATATTAAAAGTCATGTGTATAATTTTGATTTCAGAGATAAATTTATCAAATCTGTTTGAATGAATAATATTAAATAGCTATCCAATACTACTATTAATAGCAATGCCTCTTTAGTATTCTATTTGGGGGTTTTTTGGGGGTGGGGTCCTCAGATTTAAACAAAAGAGTAATAAAACTTACTGACCATTTTTTGGGAATAATAACTAGACCTGACAACTGCATTAGATAATTTAAAAGACAAATTGTACGTCATGTTTTTAGCATCTCCCTGCTGATTTTGTCTAGTCCAGGACATTTATCAGGTTTCAATTTTTGCATAGCTATTTGTAATTTTGATATAGATATCTCAAAATTAAGAGGAAGAAAACTTCTTACTTTACCCTTTAACATTTTAAATCTTTCCTTCAAAACAAATTTTCTATCTAGCATTTTCTTTTAAAAAAATTTGTTGTGATCAGCTGTTGGTATAGTCAATTACAAGACTGCAACCTTAAAGTTAGAGGGGCATAAGATGCAATTTAGACAAAAAATTAAAATACGATTTTTTTGTTTCAAACAGTCATAAAAGCAGAATAATGAAATAATGTTTCGCTATAAGAAGTCAGTTTGGTTCAATTTGGTCAAAATAAGATCAAAAACATTGCAACCTCAGTTGAACCCGTTTTCATGCAACCCTAACTTGACCTTTGGCTGAAGATGGGTTACGCATGCCCTAAACATGCTAAGTTATTGTCTTTATCATGCAATTAAATTTGTACATTTTTTTTCCATCCCAATCGTTGAATTTGTTTTTGAAAGAAATCAACATGACTTAAACGCGGACCGCAATGAGGACCCAAATTGAACTGTTACGTAAACAGTAATTTGACATAACCGTTCGCTCGCAACAGAAGCAGGATACCAGGAGACTATATACGTCTAGTATACGTATATCGATATCGCTTCATGTTATCTGTACACCTGTATTAGTATAGTAGAAAGGTCGATTATTGGATAAAGTAAAGAAAAGAATGTCAACATTGAATATTGAAACAAGGGATCCACCATTAAAAAAAATCATTTCTTTGACCGATTCAGCCTACAAGAAATCATTCATATCCAGGTAAAACCATGATTTACATTTTTTAAATCTATGAAATCAAATCAAACAGACCTGGAAAAATTGTAATTATGCATCTCCACATGCTTCTCAGTCTATTTATATTTATATTTATGCTTATATCATGTATATAGGGTCGAATGACTATCAGCAGTCTTCGGAGGTAATCTCGATGGTTAAATAGATGGCGTCCAGTCTAAAATATGCACAAAATGCTAATACACTATATCGAGTTCATTCATTGTTCATCTTTTCTTTTGGACTTTTTTTAATTTGGAATTACGTTTTAGTATGTTATGAATCAAATATGAGAATTTTAGTCAAATCAGTGATCATGAATTTGACAGCAAATGCCCCTTTAAAGATAAATATCATGCATCAATTTCTTGTTCTGTTGTCTTTTATGAGTTGTTTATTCATTGATAAGTACACTGTATTATATTTAGAAAGGAGGGAATTAATTATGAAAATCTATATCAATATTTTTAGTTCATTTATTTTTTAGAATACAGAATTACTAAAAAGAAAGTCTGAGTATACACCACAGAAACATGCAGTCATTTGTAAGAGTAGGGTATGATGCATGCCAATCAGTGGTAAGACAAATTACCAAAACGCCAACATACTGCAAATTACAACAAATCAGGGTAAGTGTAGCATACTGAATAGCATGAAGTAGAGTAGAAAAGGTCAAAATTGTCCAAACCTTGTACAATTACAGAAATGAGGACCATGTGTAAGCTTTGCAGCTCAAAGAATTTTTTCTGAAGAGATGCTTTTTCCTCAATAGACGAATTTCAAATAGTGCATTTTCCTATACATTTCCTATGTCACAATACTTATGTTCGATCTGATTTTTCAATGAGGTAATTTATGCCTATTGACCTCGGGTCTACAAGTGTAACTCATTCATAAAAAAACACTTCCGGATTGGTCTGTAATGCCTTCTAAATTTAGAAATTTATGTATACACTTTGAAGTTTTGTAAATGCAGTTCCTCCCTCATGCTTAAGATGATGATGAAACTATGTACATTGTAAGATCCTAACATTCTCCCTTAGACTGAAATTGCTTATACTATTCAGTATGCAGTATTAAATGTTCATGAAACTTTGTGCATTGGAAAATCCCAACATAAAGATATGCATATTAAATGGTGGTTGGCAAAAAGTGGGGTTTTATGAGTATTTCCCAGCCCAGTGGGAAATACTAGGAAAACCTGGGTTTTACTGGGCAATACTGGGTAATAAGAAATAATGTCTTTGAAATTTTAAGATGATTGATCAGTGAACGATTAAAAATGCAATATATAAAAGACATAATATTTTAATTCATAAGTTCATTTGAGACTTTTTATACAATTTATAAATTTGAGAAACTCTAGGAATGCATGTTTTTGATTCAGCAATGCTGGATCTATATGATAACTCCGGATTTTGAGATGTTGCAGCATTTTAAGTTGAAGACATATCATGAAACTAATTATGTGTTTTTATACGACCGCAAAAAATTTTTGCGGTCGTATATTGGTATGACGTTGGCGTCGTCGTCGTCGTCGTTGTCTTCGTCGTCCTGCGTCGTCCGAAGACACTTTGGTTTTCGCACTCTAACTTTAGTTTAAGTGAATGGGTCTCTATGAAATTTTACCATAAGGTTCAATACCACAAAAGGAAGGTTGGGATTGGTTTTGGGGGTTATGGTACCAACAGTTAAGGAATTAGGGGCTAAAAAGGGGCCAAAAATAAGCATTTTTGTAACTTCCAGACATAACTTGTGTGTTAGTGTATGGATCTCTCTGACATTGTACCACAAGGTTCCATATCACACAGGGAATGCTGGAATTGATTTTGGGGGTAATTGCCTCAAAATATTAGGAATTAGGGGCCAAAAAAGGGGCAAAAAACAAGCATTTTTCTAGTTTCATGACAATAACTTGTGTGTAAGTGTATGGATCTTTCTGAAATTGTACTACAAGGTTCCATATCACAAAGGGAAAGCTGGAATTGAGTTTGGGGGTAATTGCCCAAAACATTAAGGAATAAGGGGCCAAAAAGGGGTCAAAAATAAGCATTTTTCTAGTTTCATGACAATAACTTGTGTGTAAGTGTATGGATCTTTCTGAAATTGCACTACAAGGTTCCATATCACAAAGGGAAAGCTGGAATTGAGTTTGGGGGTAATTACCCAAAACGTTTAGGAATAAGGGGCCAAAAAGGGGTCAAAAATAAGCATTTTTTCTAGTTTCATGACAATAACTTGTGTGTAAGTGTATGGATCTTTCTGAAATTGTACTACAAGGTTCCATATCACAAAGGGAAAGCTGGAATTGAGTTTGGGGGTAATTGCCCAAAACGTTTAGGAATAAGGGGCCAAAAAGGGGTCAAAAATAAGTATTTTTCTAGTTTCCAGACAATAACTTGTGTTCAAGTGTATGGATCTCTCTGAAATTGTACTGCAAGGTACCATACCACAAAGGGAAGGCTGGGATTGAGTTTGGGGGTGATGAATCATAAGGGGGTTCAAAAAATTTGGGGGGGGGGGATTTTTTTTTTTTCCTTTTATTTTCTTTTAAAATTTTCCATTTTAAGTTGGTTATTTCTGTTTTATATTTAAAAGCAAATAATAATGATATGGTAGGAGATACACACCAAACAGGATGTGAAAATTATTATATAATAAGTATTGTGCAATAGCAAGAAATTTTCAATTGCACAGTATTGCACAATAGCAAGAAATCTTCAATTGCACAGTATTGCGCAATAGCAAGAAATCTTCAATTGCACAGTATTGTGCAATAGCAAGAAATATCCAATAGCACAATATTGCGCAATAGCAAGAAATTGTCAATTGTTCAGTATTGCGCAATAGCAAGAAATATTCAATTGCACAGTATTGTGCAAAAGAAGATACTTCGTATAAATTGCTTATTTCTTGACCAATTTCAATGGGGTTTTATTCTTGAATTCTTGGGGTTCTTTAATATGCTGATTCTAACCGTGTATTAAGTTTTTGGATTTTGGGCCCTGTTTTTAAATTGGTCCACATTGAGGTCCAAAGGGTCCAAAATTTAACTTTGTTTGATTTCATCAAAAATTGAATTATTGGGGTTCTTTGATATGACGAATCTAACTGTGTATTTAGATTCTTAATTTTTGGTTCCGTTTTCAAATTGGTCTACATTAAGGTCCAAAGGGTCCAAAATTAAACTTTGTTTGATTTCATCAAAAATTGAATTATTTGGGTTCTTTGATATGACGAATCTAACCGTGTATTTAGATTCTTAATTTTTGGTTCCGTTTTCAAATTGGTCTACATTAAGGTCCAAAGGGTCCAAAATTAAACTTAGTTTGATTTTAACAAAAATTGAATTCTTAGGGTTCTTTGATATGCTGAATCTAAACATGTATTTAGATTTTTGATTATGGGCCCAGTTTTCAAGTTGGTCCAAATCGGGGTCCAAAATTAAACTTTGTTTGATTTCAACAAAAATTGAATATGTGGGGTTCTTTGATATGCTGAATCTAACGATGTATTTAGATTTTTGATTTTTTGGCCCCATTATCAACTTATCAACCACATTGAGGTCAAAAGGGTCCAAAATTAAACTTTGTTTGATTTCATCAAAAATTGAATTCTTTGGGTTCTTTGATATGCTGAATCTAACCATGTATTTAGATTTTGGATATTGGACCATAATAGGTGAATGTCCAATTTAAAATTTTTAAGTTCTTAGACCACATTCATTCTGTGTCAGAAACCTATGCTGTGTCAAATATTTAATCACAATCCAAATTCAGAGCTGTATCAAGCTTGAATGTTGTGTCCATACTTGCCCCAACTGTTCAGGGTTCGACCTCTGCGGTCGTATCAAGCTGCGTCCTGCAGAGCATTTTATTATGACTTCCAGAAACTTGATATTTATACACCATTTTAATCATCTACTGCCAACTTTTGACATCTAATTTGCCCTTAAATTAAGAAAAGATTGGTCGAACAGCTTCTTTATTTTAGATATACACTTGCATAAGAATTATGAAAGTATCTTATGTTTGTGTAAGTTAACAAAATTTGGTACAAGATGTGTATTAATATCAATGTTGATTCCCACACTTTTTTGAAATGCTATTATTCTATTCTTCTCAGGTAAGTAAGAGTACTGATAAAATACAGTATGATAGACAACTGTCATTATTTACAAACAATTTCATTCAAAGGTGAAGTATTAATTGGAATCTCCTCTATTTTATTGCCAATCATAATTGACCACAGTCAATATCTTTTGTATAACATAATTGAATGTACACTCTATTATACTGCTCAATTTATACCTTAATACACCATTTATTGTCAATTATTGACCTCAGTAGTATACCTATAGTAACTTTTGATCTACACTACATAAAATTATTCTGTAAATTCTGTTTCAAAGATGAATGATTAAAGGATTAAAAAGATGCATTTTTGCAAAGAAATAAAGAAAAAACCAAATATGTACAAAAAATGCAAGCAGGGTCTATTTTACTTGATAAATCAGTGTAATAATCATCTGATTTTAGTCAATAATTTAGGTTGATTTAAATTACAATTGTAATTAATTTGCTGTGAACAATAAACAAATATGCATTTTCTGCAATCAAATTTATTTGTTTATTCCCCATTATATTGCAATTTAACAGTGTAAGGTTATTTGTACATGTATTTGAATACAGGATTTTTTTCTCAATGAAGAATGAACTCCAATTTTAATAAAAAAAAAAGTTATTTAATTTTTGTTGTTAAAAAAGTGCATTTTCAATGCCTCTTTCTGGAAATTATTAAGTCAGACAACAATAAAAAAAATATATACTACACCTTCCTTTGAAGATTTCTATTTCCAATCATGTCAAAATTATTTAATTGAAAAAAAGAAGATATTGAAAATAAGTACCCCTTCTAAAAATTGAAATATCAAAAGAATTTGTACCAATATTGAAAAATTCTCCATTTTTGGGCAATTGAATACATTTATTTTTTAGTAATATTATGAAAAAAAAAAAAAACAACCATTCACAAGTGACTATTACTTACAGATGGTGGTATTCTGCTTTTCTGCTGTCATATTCATTTGACTGCTCATCTTCCCTCATCTCTGTCGCTCTCTGCCAGTGCTTTAATGTCTTCACATGGTTCCAACCTTCACCAGATGTTTCGACCCTGTACCATTAAATCCTCCAATTGGTGGGTCAGTAGAGTTGGCCTAACCTCTACTCATTAGCATCTGCTTTGCCTCTGTTGTTGTTGGTCTCGTCTTCCTTCTCTCCACATCAAGGGTTTCTGCCAGATGTTTAGGACCTTGTAATGCCGCCATCGATATCTTCCCTGTGTCAGTGCAACTTTACAGCCTGAAAGTATGTGTGCCATCTTACCTCTTTCTCCACTTAACTTGCAGCCTGGTTCTTCTATCAGTCCCCATTGGTGTAAGTTTGAAGGGGAAGGAAGTGTATCATAGACTGACCTAAGCATGAATGAAATTCTGAATGGTTCCATCCTCCATAACTCGGCCCATGTGATCTTTCTTTCTGGCAAGTTTTACTTCATCCATGCTCCTTGATGGCTGAACTCTACTGCTTTTGCCCTTCTTTGTTCTTCTTCTACTTTGTCTTTTTAT